TATGTTGCTGAGTTCTTGGAAACTTTCTTAAAGATGCTGCTGTTAAGTAAGTAGTGGAGTCCCTCTATAGCTGTTTGGATTGCATTTGGAAATGAACAGATTAAAGAGTTGTTTGCATTAAATCTAAACTTTAGACAAAAATTAATATTGAACCTCTTTTTTGAGTGAGGAGGATATCTCTTGGCTATGTAAGACAAGAAACGGAGCAGGAACAGCGTAAAAATCTCTCCTACACTATGTGAGAAGAAAGATAAGCTGTGAAGGTTGTTTACTTTTTTTGATAACAGGTCCATCCTGGCAAGACAGATGGCAAGACACTAGAAGCTAAACAACTTTGCTATGCTAGTAGTGAGGCACGGAGCGTAGTAGTTTATGAACCCCTGACCCCTCCATCTGCTGGGTTGGGTAGGGGTCTGGCAGCCAGCCAAGGTCAACCCACCACACCATTTAATGAGTTTTACCTGTAATCAGGTTTGTTGTGGTATTCTGCCTACATTTTATAAGATATGGGTGTCAAAATCCTGTGTGTAAGTGGCAGCAGCAAAGGAGTGGCAGTACACTACCCAATTCAGCTACCTGCAGCCTGGCTGAAGTAGGTGTGATGGATAAGACGAACTTAGGTGGATGAGACCTATCAGCTATGGTAGTGTGCTCAGTGCTGCTTGGCTTGCAAAAGACTTGCATTTTGCTGCTTAGAAACCAATTCTCAGAGCTGTCTTTGAGCCAAAGGGCAAGTGGGAGTTGTAGAAATTCTGCTTTACTTGGACTACTTCTTCCAGCATGAAAGCCAGGAGGGATGGCTGTTTTATATGGCCAGCGTTACTGGTCCTTACCTGTTTTACCAGGGGTAGGCTTAACGGGCCTGAATAGCTCCTTTGCACTTCTTGTTTCAGGCCTGGTCACAGCTTCATCTCTACTTGCAGAAATCCTAGCAACTGAGGGAATCCTGCTCCCTCCTTGAAAGTAGCCATAGGACCCAGCAATGCAGGGCGCAAACATCTTAAAGACGCATCAAACTTTTCACAGTCAGAAGACAAAGTGGGGCCAGTGTGAACCAAGCAATGAAATAAACTGTTTGTAAGTCAGCTTTAAATTCCTTTAGCATGTTTACTACTGTAAATGCACAGAAGAGTCTTACCTAAGGTGAAGCTGTGTCCAAGACAGAAGTATCATTTAACAAAGGGAAGAGAGAAGGTGGTCATTTCAGAAAGTATCACACAGAGAGAAAATTCTGCAGTTTAATGCCAGGAAAGAATAGATAGTTCAAATTTACAATCAATCAAGCATAATAATTTTTAACACCCAGCTCAGTTGTTCAAGGAATACTATTTGTAAAGTACAGAACTGCAAAGGTTTTTATATCTCGGCACTCATTAAAAATGCCACTTTATACTGACAGCTTTCCATAATCATTGCAAAGTCCCAGAAGATGTTTTTAATAGAAGTTTTCCTTTACCAAGCAGCCTTTACTTCATATTATCTGTCAAAGAATGACTAAGTCCCTTTGTAAAACAGACACGCCCAATTTTATACAAACACACAGCTCAGCAATGCAAGACAACACACTGTTTCTGAGGAGAGAAATTGTTTTAAATCACTTTCCTTGTTCTTCCCTAGAACCAACTGCTGTTGACTGAAGCATGCTGTACCACAAATGCTAACAGCCACCAAAACTTCAGGATATAGAGTTGTGTTTTGATGTTGCAACTATAAACATAACTCCTTTTTTTGGTAGTTTGTTTTTAATGAATACTAAAGCCAACTCTGCTTAGGATCGGTTTGGGACTGTGTTATACGGGTGCACAAACACATTGTGATTAAGAGGATATTACCAGTTTCTGGTTTGCAGAGCTGCTGTCAGTCTCATGTCTCATATTTTTGCAAATGTGTACTTCTAGGGGGCTAGAGCAGCACCGGTCCCTTCAATGTGGCTCACTCTTTAGGTATGTTGCTGAGCCCGCACAGCCAGGGAGAGGGCCAGCATCATTAGGTATTCTGGTAAAATGGAAGGCTGCACAGTGCCTGGTGACTGTATCAGCAGCTATTGTTTGAAAGGAATAAAGGCTTGGGTCTCTTCCTATACGACTGGAAAGTTGGCAGCTTTTTCTCTGTCTTACTTCTCGAGCTGTCTCGCTAGGCCTGCATGTAGGACAAGGGATGACGCACTTCCAGAAATGTGGCTTGGCCCACAGCTGC